AGTGGCGTTAATCCTGTCACAGGTGACAGAAAACAGGGGACGAGCAGCAGATTCTGCTTTTTTGATTTATTTTTTGCAGGGAGAAAGGCTTGGCTGCAGCTGTGGGAGCTGGCTGAGAGTTTGGCCAGAGGTGCAGGCAGCTCTCCAAACAGGGAAACGAGATATTTCAAACAAGGAAGCGACCGATTCAGGTTTGCAGCCAGTGGGGTCAAGAAAAGGACCTGATAATATTTTTAGCCTCAGGAATCGCTCCAAATACGGGCAAAAAAGGACGTGCAGGAGCAAGGCGATGCTCAAAACCGTTCCCTGCAGCCTCGTGCCAGGAGGGAGGTTGTCTTCTGAGGTTGGTGGTGTCCCTTTACCTCCAGGGGACAGGCAGCCTGGAGACTGAGGCTCCCCAGATGACAAAGCAAGCGTGAGGGGGACTCTGGAGGTGGTCTGCAGAGACTTGACCGAGGGAGCAGGTTCTCCTGCCCGAGGTCTGGAGCAGGGAGACGATTTGCAGATTCTTTTCATCTCTGTAGTGTAGAGTTTAGATTGATTTTTCGTGGTTTTGCTGCTGCCAGGCATTGAGTCTGCTCTCAGAAGTAGGAGGTCACGCTGATGTCTTCCCCACCCTGGGTTGCTGCTTCTGCCTCTTCTGTTTCTTCTCCTACATCTCAGCGATTACACTCCTCCTGCTGTCTGAGTGGGTGTTTCGCTGCAGGGGTTGATCACAGCAGCTTCACATTTCTGTGAATGTGACTCTTCTGTGGCCATTCCTATTCCTCTTGAGCTGTAAGAGCTTGAGGGAATTGCAGGAGCCCTCATCTCATCGTTATCTGAAGCAGGGTTTGGGGGTTTGTCCTTTTGAAGACATCAGAGGGTGGTTGCAATTTCAACATTTATGAGGCACGTGGAGTCTGGAGCACCTTCTGACCTGCTCTTTGACGTTTTTATGAAATGCCTATTGCCAACCTGGTAGTTCTCCAGTAGAGGAGGAGAAGGGATACAAGCATCTGTGGAAGGAAGAGGGCTGTTTCTCCTCCTGGAACGAGGAGCTCCTATTGAAAGGTCATCTTTGACCCTCCAGATGTCTACTGCTCGCTCCAGAGAAACAAGGACCTTGAGACCACGCAACAGTAGAGTTTAGGAAAATATTTTTCCATTGATCATCTGTTTCTTCTCGTATTCCTCACAGGCTGTACCAGTTGTCCAAAGCGGGGAAGCTCTGCGTCCCAGCCATGAACGTCAACGACTCGGTCACAAAGCAGAAGTTTGACAACCTCTACTGCTGCAGAGAGTCCATCCTGGACGGGTAGGTACCAGCCCACCCAAACGGGCCCACGGCCCTTGCTCAAGTTGTGTTGGACCCAACAGGGAACTGGGTCCATCCTACCTACCCATTTAGACCATTTTAGATGTGTCAGAGGAGAACAAAGACCCTTTATTCACCCTGGTCCATCCTGTTTGTATCACAGACGGGAATCTTCAAGGCATTTTGAGGCAGCAGCTACATCTCTACAGGCCAGAAGGTCCTAAGACTTATTTGTACCATTTAGACCATTTTAGATGTGTCAGAGGAGAACAAAGACCCTTTATTCACCCTGGTCCATCCTGTTTGTATCACAGATGGAAATCTTCAAGGCATTTTGAGGCAGCAGCTCCAGAAGGTCCTAAGATTTATTGTGCAATGGTGTGCAAAGCTCTGCAAGTCTATGCACACCTGAAAACAAAAGTTTAATTTTGTGTTTGTAGGAGAATGATCTCACAGCAAAGACTTTAGCACCTCTAGAAGCCGGGATTCAGTGTTTTTAACCCGGCTACATCCATGAATGGGGCACATCACTCAAATTCTCCCTCTGCTCCTCCTCTTGGGGAAAGCATGTCATCTTCTGTGAAGACACATCAGATATTTTATTAGCCATAGTGATATCAGGCTGAAACACCGGGCTGCCTCCAGAACACGGCCCTGGCACGCGCTCTGGCACCCGCTTTAATTTTATGCTGTAGTTACCTGTTCCGACCTCAAATAAAACAACGATTCCGATGGGAATGTTGAATTAAATCAGCTCCTTGGCTCCCCCAGACAGGCTCTTGCCTCCTCCTGCTTTTTTTTTTTTTTTTTTTTTTTTTATCCTCTCCTGTGAATATAAAATAAACGGAAAGAAAGAAAACAGAAGAGGTTGTGGTAGACCAGGACTTCATCCCGTAACAGTTGCGTGTCCAAAGTGTAGTATGTGTCCCTCAAGTGTCCTTCAGCTGAGCGAAATAAATAGGTGCAGAAGGTGGAAAAGATGGGGTTTTATCCAATTCCCACCCCCCTGCTCCTGCAGGATTCACAGCCACGTGCCCGTAGGAGCAAGGAGGAGAGCGTTGGCTTCCCCTTGTGCTCCTTCCCCCCCTTCTCCAAAATCCCAGCAGCAGGCAAACTGTGGGACTGGGACCAGCTCTGCAGCCTCCTGATGGGGCTGTACTTTTTAGGATCGGCCGGGAATCTGTCACTGATGGATACGTGGGCACCGGGAACACCATGTGTCTTCTGAGACTGTTGGTCTTGAGATGCAGCGCAAAATACTTGGAAGTTGTCATCTAGAGAGGGTGGAAATCTCATAAATCTCAGTGATCTTTTCTTTTTTCTCTCTCCTTCTTTTTTTTTTTTCTTTATTCTGATGGAACTGGATGTCCATGTTCCCCACCACCTCCGCCACCAAGTTTTTTTGTCAAAGTCAAGGGAGATTAGGACAAGTTTTATTCTTGCAGCAGATGGGTGGACCGTGACATATTGCAGCTGGGAGTGATCCCAGTAGACAAGTAAGCACGGAAGCAAGGACAAACTTGACTTTCCGGACTGACGTTCGTGCTGATGACTCCCAGAGAAAAGCTTGCCTGCTCTGTGCCAGGTAGCTGTGGTGCGGAGGAGGAACCCTCCGTGGAGAAGACAGCCTGCTTCTGGAGAGAAGACTTTGTGCATGTTGATAACTTGGTTTGGCTTAAAGTTTAAACGAGTCTCAAGACCCACAGTTCTCTGTTCGTTGCAGATGTAGAAATGTCTCCCGCTCTTTAATCAAAGTCCATCTGGCAGAGCTGTTGGTGTCCAGCTCTGCCACCGCTGCCTGCAGCCTGGAAGCCCCAGAAGTTCTCCCAGACCCAAAGCTGGCTTCCCTTGTTGGTTTTGGAGTTGGTTCTGACATCTTTTTCCCAAATCTTTGTGGAGTTTGTAGTAGAGTGCCTCATTTGCCACCTCAACTTTGAAGAGGTCTTCCAGGTCATCTTGACCAGGAGAAGTGAAGATGACTCATGTCTGTAAATCATAGAAACACGGAATGGTTTGGGTTAGAAAGGACCTTAAAGACCATTCAGTTCTACCCCACTGCCCTGGGCAGGGACACCTCTCACCACCAGGTTGTTCCAAGCCCCCTCCAACCTGCCCTTGAACCCCTTCAGGGATGGGGCAACCACAGCTTCTGTGGGCAACCACCTGTATGTCCAAATACAGGGGCATGAAGATCATAGAATCATAGAATCATAGAATCATTGAGGTTGGAAGAGACCCTTGGGATCATCGAGTCCAACCATCTACCCTACTCTACAAAGTCCTCCCCTACACCATATCCCTCATCACAGATGATCTTTAAAATGTGGACAAGTGCCATGTGAGTGAAGGAACCACCAGATGTGCTTCCCTGGGTCATCTGCTACACGTGCAGTTTCTTCCCCACCTTTCCATTCCGTGTTGTTCTAAAAGACTAAATTCTGATGAGGGTGGTGAGACCCTGGCCCAGGTTGCCCAGAAAGGTGGGAGATGCCCCATCCCTGGAAACATTCCAGGTTGGATGGGACTCTGAGCAACCTGGTCTAGTTGAAGATCACAGAATCACAGAATCATCTAGGTTGGAAGACACCCTCGGGATCATTGAGTCCAACCATCTACCCTACTCTAAAGTTCTCCCCTACACCATATCCCCCAACACCACATCTTCCTGCCCGTGGCAGGGGGGTTGGACTAGGTGGCCTTTAAAGTTCCCTTCCCACCCAAACCATTCCACGATTCGATGAAAACATCTTGATGAAGTCATTCTAATTAAACAGAATTCCTTTTCTTTCTTCATTATGGCCACGTCTCTGCTCTGTGGCCATAGAGTTCAAGATGGACGAGGCAGCTTCTGTCACGGGGGATGTTGGCTGCCCCATGAAGAGTTGCCCCTAAATTTTAAGTGTCCAAGGACACAACTATTAGCTCCACGTGTAGCAGATGCCATCTGTGGCTGAGAAACACTCAAATCTTAAAAAGCTCCTTTATCTCGTTGCCTTCGGTTGTGACGGTTGATGGACCTCACGGGGAGCTACGTTGGGATTTGGAGTCAAGTCTGACCCAGGCATCTAAAACTGGGCCAAGGGAGGTCTGAGCAGGGCTGCAATTAAATCTGCTGTGCTTTTTTAGCTAAATTCTTTGGGAAATGGAAGGGAATTTCACTTTCCCGGCACTGCTAACCTATTTACTCCGGTGCTAAAAATAGCCCGCAATGTAGGACACTCTTAGGGAGAAACCAGAAGGAAACAGAGTGGAAGGGAGAGCTTTGTTTGTGGAAAGTGCTGGGATTCTGGCAAGGAGTTAAAACACACTTTTTGGCTCCTTCTGTGGTTGTTTCTGTGGGGTATTTTGACATTTAAAAAGAAAAAAAAAGAGTATTTTTGGAAAAGATTTTAAGTATTTGTGGAGCACCCAAGCAAAGGGATCCAAGGAAAAGAAACAGAAATGACAAAAAAAGGGATCCAAACCCCAAATCCTTCCTCTTTGTTGCATTTCCCTGGTAGCACCAAAGGAAAAAGTCATTTTTTAGGTGTCTTTGGGTCCTCCCTGTGCCCAGAATTGCTGTGTGATCTCGGGGACACAGGATACAACCCTGGTGTTGGGGAGGAGCAGACCGAGGAGGACCTGTCCTCCACTGTAGCATCATCAGGGGAATAGAGCTAATTGTCTTTAATTGTGGTTTGTTTTTTTTTCCCTTTTTCTTTAGCCTGAAAAGGACAACAGACATGATGTTTGGAGGAAAGCAAGTAGTGGTTTGTGGCTACGGGGAGGTAAGGGCTTCAGATTTCTTACGCCGCACGTAAAAATCAGCGCGTCCTTCGCATGGCTTCGTCCCCACGGGGCTTTCCTGGCCTCGGGGCTTCTCTCTGCATCTGCAGGTGTCCTCAAACCCGGCGGGTCGGCCAAAAAAATGAAGATTTTTCTTGATTTCCAGTATATTTCTTCAGTATTCAATGGATACCAAACCTGAATCTTAAAAACATTAAGTCTGAGTATTAAGTATTCCGGCTACCTTTAATATCTGAATGTCGGAATATCCAGATATTAGTATAGAATATATTATCATTATATTTTATGTTTTCATCATCTATTGTATTTGATGGACTGTTGAAGCCTTGGGAGGCTGGGCTCTGCAGATGCAGCCGCAGCGTTGCGTGCCGAAGCCAGGTCAGGAAAGAGAAGTTCACCTTGACTTCCCCCCCTGAGCTTCCACCCCCAAACGGAGGAGTCCTCTCTCCTTCTCCCTTCAGCACGTCTTGCTGGGACCAGTGATCACCAGTTAGGGTGGGCTGTGCTGTGGGTGCTGTACTGGGACAGACTCTTTTTTGGTTTTTTTTGCTCCAAAGAGCTGAAATGGGACAATTTTTTCCTGTGTCATCACATTTTTTGGGAACCTTTGATCATTTAACCATTCCCCTGCGAGCTGCACCGTAGGTTAAAGCTCGTTAACCCTCGGAGAGTAAACCATTAAGCTTCCTAAATAGAGTAAAGGTTACAAAAGACTCTTAAACTTTCCCTGGGATGAGTGTAATCATCCAGCCTGGCCTTGATAAGTGTTATCATGGTGCCTTCTAGATACCAGGATGTTTGGGTGGGGAAGAAGAACTCCCTGGGACCGAAACCAGCAGCACTTTCATATTTTTTAGTGCCTGTCTTAGCGAAGCTGGGCCCGACTCAGGTCCAAAAAATGGAAATATGGAACCAAGAGTTACTCTGGGGGCTGCAGAAGAGGTTGTACATCCCCCAGGAGCTCCCCGTGGCCGAAGGGCTGCTCGGCGTGTCCCGAGCTCTTGGTGTCTCACTCCTCCTCTGTCCTCTTCTCCCTCCCCAGGTTGGAAAGGGCTGCTGTGCTGCCTTGAAGGCCATGGGCTCCATAGTGTACGTGACAGAGATCGATCCGATCTGTGCCCTCCAGGCCTGGTAAGCAGTCCCCACCCAGCCCGGCTTCTTCCTTAGGTTTTTGTTGTTTTTTTTTTTGGTTTTGGTTTTTAACCCAAGGAAAACCACGGCCAGAGGCTGCTGAGCAGCGGTCCTCCCCCACAAGAAGAGATGCTGGGGAGGAGTTGGTGGCTTCTCTCCCCCCCTGGAGGGACCCACAGCTCTCTCCTGCGGCCAGGAAAGGGTCCCTGCACTAGAGCATCACCAGGTTTATCTGGCTCCCAGGTGCATCGTAGCCAGAGCAGCCACGAGTTTAACCCTACAGTTTGAAGGAGTTTTATGATGTGGCTTGAAAGGGTTTAACGATAAGTTTTGAGAGTCAAATTATCAAAAGGCTGCTGGGAGTGAACTGCGACCTCTGGAGAGCAACCTCGGGCTTCCCTCTGCTGCACAGACCCCTCACCAAGGAGTATTTTGGTGTTTTTGTGACCACCCACCCCTCACAAACCTCTCCTCGCTCGCCCCGGTGCCCCGACACAGGGCTGAAAGCTCACAGCTCCTCCCCAACCCCCAGCACGGGCACGTTGCAGTTACACCCCACCTCGTTTCCTCCAGGTGAAGGTTGTTTTGGTGCCAAGATGCTCCTCCATCCCAAGGGACACGGGTGGGAAAGCAGAGTCCCCCCCCAGAAAGGATCCGGAGCCTTAAACCCGCAGCCTCTTCCTCACAGCGAGCTTTCGAAGGGAGGAAACTAATGAGCCCCGCTTAATTAGCAGAGCTGAGCCTCTTTGGGTTTGCTTTGCAACCTTGACAAGCGGCGCATCCAGCCAGCACATCCTTTTAATTGTGAATTGGGTCGTTTGCAGCAACACCCGGCTCCTCCTGAGGAGATTGCAGTAGATGGGGAAAAAAAAATAGAAATAAATCAGTAAATGGGACATACGGCAGAAAAAAAAAAAAAAAAAACCTACGGTTTTGCAGCTTTGAAAGTAAGTTCTCGGCAGGACTGTCAACAAAGCCTAAAAAACCCCAAAAACCTGCCCAAAAAGCCTGCCCTCGTTGTCCAAAGCGCTGAGCACACCTTGCTTGGTGGGGTCAGGGAACCTGCCGAGCGCTCAGCGCTCCCAGAGATGGAGTAGGGGCCTTAAATATGGATCGTGGAGTTAATGAGAAGAAATCTGAAGGCTGGGGGTGTTTTGGGTTTGGTTATTTTTTTTTAAGATGATCTAAATCCATCGCAGAGAGGATCCTGCGGCAGGAGGGCAGATCTGCCTCTTCTGGGTGTGCTTTTGCAGGGAGTAGCAGCTTCAAAAAAAGCCCTCTCGATGGAAAATTGAGATTTGCAGATGGGGAGGCCT